CTTACAAAATAAAATTCCCTTTCAAACTTTACACAAAACTTAAACATTATCAAGCGTTATTAAATAATCTCCCTCTTTCCCGCTGAAAAGTTATTTTAAATAATCAGCGATCCTTTGCCAGCCAATCGTTCCCTTTTCAAGGACCAATCTCATTATAAAGTTTTGAGTAAATAGGACTCCCTACAGGTATTTAAATAGTATTAAGTTCCCAGCGTAACTTATTACCAAAGTTTCTAACTGAAATTTCAATTAACTTAATCACGATAAAGAATATTAATTAGGACACTACTTTTTATTTTTTGAAGGCTGGTTTTATTCCACAAAATAAAATTGAATGTGAATTTGTAAAACAGCCAAAGTAATAAACTTGAGTATAAAAGGCAGCCAATACTAGCGTCTGGACACCTTTTTCTCAAGGCAGTAAAGCGTTAAAAATGGTGACAAGATAAGGAAGACGCTACGACTTTCATGGGAACAATCGTGCTGGAAGAACCCTCATAGAAAACCCTCCAAGATATATGCGCTCGACGATTAGATTAGAAGATGGAGGAAATTTTCGAAGCGAGATTTTTCACCCCGAACAATATGAAGGATTAACCTGTCGGGTTTATTACATTGTCGCTCGATCTTTTTGTGAATCGGCTCGGTGATTGATCACTTTCTCATTTTGGTTTGACAGTGTTAAATCCCGGAGCTTAAATTCAGGTTTTATTCATTGCTCCTTTGGATTTGTGGGTTATTGGAAATCGACTATCCTAGATCTTCGATTCCAATAAATTATTGGGAAATTGAAAACTTACGACATCCTTTTTTTCATCTTTAATCCTATTCAATATTTTTAACTCACACCTTTTTATAAACTAATTCAGCTGTCAATTTCCTGAATAAATGAACCACCCTTACTTATTAATATTTAAATACGATTGGGTCGTAAAGTCCTTAACAATTATCTTCTCACCAGAAACTTTAAGCTTGGTACTTTGTCAAATTAAAATTACCCGGAAAATAGGGAGCCTTGTTAATTGGTGGTTGATAAAGTTTGACAAAACCCCTTCTCGTAGATCGATCGTTTTGGTGATTTGAGCTTCCAAGATAAATGGTTTAGAATCTGGCAAGCTATACTACTGATTTAAGTAACATTAAAATTTTTCACACGTTTTATTTTCTTATTCAATCATTTTATAAAATGTTTCGTCTTTTATATTTATTTTAATAATTTTTCCTTCCAAAAAATTATCAACCAAATTTGATTAAAAAATATAAATAGATTGATGATTCAATGGATTTCCGAGCAACTTTTTCGGCGCTCGATTATTTTTAGACGCCCCGCGAATATAATGATTATAATTTTTAAACGGGCCCTTTTCCCCCAACTTGGAGCCGAAAAGTTGTCGCGGTGTCCTCTCCTGGGAGCCCTCAAATTCAGTATTTTTGTTTGGCAAATTAGCAAAGTTTCGACGTTTTTCCTTCCCCTGCTTCCCGTAACAACTGTTTTTTGTTTACGAAGTTGACGAAGAAAAAAAAAAACCGGAGATCTCTAAGGGACGGTTTATGGGCAAATGAAAATTGCTCGAAGTTTTTTAACTTCGTTATTTGTTGTCTGATGTCAGAGCTTGAATATACATTTTAAGTTTTATGTAAAAGTGACATACTGATCTGGCGTATGATTGTAGTGGGGCGGTTAAAAACGCCATCCTAAAACTACAGCGTTTTCCTTTTCAATGGAAAAAGGCTGTAGTAGTTATGATCCCCAAACCCGGAAAAAACCTTACACTTCCATCCTCTTACTGCCCAATCTCCCTTCTAAACTCCTTTTCCAAGCTCGTGGAGAAGTTTATCCTGTCCAGAGTCAACAGGATCGTCGAAAACTTCTCCATTCTTCCAAACGAGCAGCTCGGATTCAGCCCCCGTCACAACACCACACTTCTTGCAGTCAAAATCTGCTGCGACGTCTTCCGAGCGTTCAACAGGCGCATGAACACGACTCTTCTGCTCCTGGATATTTAGCGCGACAGGGTCTGGCATTCAGGCCTTATCTACAAATTACTCGCGCATTGCTTATCATCTCCCTGATACAGTCTTTCATCAGCGGCCGCACTTTCTGCGTTAAACAAGCCGACGCCCTCTCAAATTCCAAAACAATTCAGGCCGGAGTGCCGCAGGGGTCAGCACTCAGTCCGCTGCTGTACTCTCTGTACTGTCACGATAAATTTATCAATTACGTAACATGTTCCATCTCTTCTTATTTTCATTATAAAGTTGTACTTTTTCCATAAAAATATCCACAAAGTTCAAAATGATACAAGTTCTGCCATCTATCCATCATGCCCGTAAAATGCCAATATCGAGAATTCATTTGCCAGTACTGCCATCTAGTACTTGATGGATAATTTGTAACAAATTGGCGCCCAACGTGGGGCCTGATTACTTAAAGTTCAAATAACCAATAATTTATAACAAATTGGCGCCCAACGTGGGGTCCGATTACCTAAAGTTCAAATAACCAATAATTTGTGACAGTACATAGCGGACACACCACATTTCCCATGCTTTGGCTCGCACCTTCAGTGCGCAGCAAAAATTTTACCCCCTCATCGGCCCTACCTTCCCCCTATCACCAGGTTATAAGCAAACAATATACAAACAGGTCATAAGACCTATGCTAACATATGGGGCCCCTGTCTGAAACATAATCTCCACAACTCAGCGAAACCGCCTGCAACGTTTTCAGAACCGCATCTTAAGGAGAATGCTGTCGCAATCCGGAGAGTGCTGTAGGAATCCGGAGGGTGCTGTCGGAATCCGGAGAGTGCTGTCAGAATCCAGGTACGCCAGAATAAGGCACTATGCATGCGCAAGCATGCATTCCTTATATCTCTGACTACTTGGATGAAATCAGCGAAAAATTCTACAGGCACCAAGTTCAAGGCTCTCCTCTAACACGCAGAATGACCGCAACGAGATATGATCCAGACAACCCCATTTCACGGTCCACCATACAAGAATTTATCAATCTATTTTGAACCCCCATGAACACCTCCCCATCCCAATCCTGCTATTCATACACCCAAACCAAAACCCGCTCCAATGCACAGCTAAAATCTTAACGTTAAGACAAAATTAGACAAGAAAGTTTGGTGTAGGCGCCAATAGCCTTAGTCTGAAGCAGGAGACTCTGGCAATCCTATCAAGGTCTAATTTCTACCCTTAGTTCTTCAGAAAATTCCAACTAGTCGGCGATGTAGTGTATGACAAACTCCTCTCTCGCTGACTATGAGGAAACCACTCTTGTCTAATTGAACATCAGGCACCCCAATCTGACCAAGAAACATATTGGCTCTCTCTCTTCGTTCTTCGTGCCCCGCAGGACAGCTTGCATTAACAAACATAGAGGCACAAATTGCCTAGAATAGCTGAAAAACGCATGTCCCAATCCCGGTAAATTCTTGCACCCAATCCCCGGGTACCCTCATTCTCTGACATCCCTTACAAACTTCCCCACCTGCAGCAAAACCATCACCTAGAGACTCATCAGGTCTCAGGATTGGTCGGAGTGCAGGGCCGTCGAACTTATTCAATCCGTACCCGCGCTCATGTCACATACCCGAAGCTCACAATTACTAGTGAGGACGCGTCTAGTGAACCCGATCGCCCACGGGCACAACATTTTTGTTTTTTATATTCTAAAATTAATGAAAAAAGGGGTTTTTCTATGCTTTTTCCCCACAAATCGAGCGCTGCGCGCTCTTCAACCCCAACTCCGAGCATTCCACCCTTATTCTCGAGACAGGCCAGTGTAATGACCTAGTGCGCGGTATTCACCAGCGATCTCAGGGTCAAATAATTGACGTTAAAGGGCAACCGGGGAGCGTCGTGGAAAGTGGTAATAAAAATAGTAACAGGGGTTTGCAGTCAACAACATCGACCAGGCTAAAGCGCCCACAATACTCGCAAGGCGAATGTGTGAGCACAGCGTGCTGCGCACGCTGTAATTTAGTTTTAGAAGTCCTGTCTTTGTTTATTTAAAACAAATGTTGTATATATATATAGTTTGAGGGGGGCCTGTATTGTATAGCTTAGTAATTTTGAAATAAAGATAGATGTTTGAGTTGAGTTGAGTTAAAAACGAGCTATCTGCGGCCAAGCAATATGGAGCCGGGCAGGCCCGACAAGAGGGGCAAATTCTCGGGGCCCGTAAGACCTGGGGGGCCCGGATTATACGTTTAAATTTTGCTTTACAAGTGTCACATTCAAAAGGATGAATATCGGAGTGTGTTAATATGTTATTTTTCAAAACGCCTTTTCGCTCAAATTTCGCTTAACAAGTGTCACATTCAAAAGGATAAATATCCAAATGTGGCGAAATGTGATCCTTTAAATTGGTTTTTCGTTTAAATTTGGCTTTGCAAGTATCACATGCAAAAGGATAAATATCCCGAGTGTGTTAAAATGTGATCCTTTGGATTGCCTTTCCGTTTGAATTACGCTTTGCAAGTGTCACATTGGAAAAGACAAATATCCGAATGTGTAATTGAATGATATTTCAAGCTTGTTTCGGTCTTAAATACAGTATTGCAAATAAAACATTGGAGCTTCCTATTAACAAACAAATTCTCGGGGCCCGTAAGACTTGAGGGACCCGGATTCTAATAGAGGGGGTTAAAAAAAAAAAGAAAGAGGGAGGCCCGTTATTATTTTTTTACCGGGGCCCGATCCAGCTCTCGGCGGCCCTGGAGCCGGGTTGCAAGTTGGATGGCTGACCGATATAGCCGAGTTCTAAATCAGTTCTCTTCTCGCCACCCAAGGCGCATCGGTGGAGCGTCGGTCAATGGTACAACTTGCAGAATGAATGAGGAGGAGTAGGGCATATGCAAAGATACACAATAAGCCTTAGGCTGCAGTGCTGAGCATATGCCTGAAAGAATAAACAAATATAATCTAATCTAATTTAAAATAAGAAACTCTAGCGTTTAACTGACAATTCTGTTTCTTTGTTTCAGGTACGTGAAATGGTTCCAGGTGCTGACCGTAAGCTCCGCGAACACAAACTCTCAACAGAATATCTAATTCGTCACTCCAACCCTCATCCTTTAACTCACCCTCAGTACGACCCCATAAATACCGAACAGCACATCCCTTTGGAACAATACGAAGTCACTGAATGCGGTCCGCTCCTCAACAAAACCCCTCCGGACGTGTGCACGACGAATCGCTGTCAAGATTTCGCAGCTGCAGCTGACCTGTCGAACGCAGGCGCTTTAGAAATAAATTTTTGCGGTACCTCGGATATGTGTATCGCGCACTCGCAGTCGTTAGCCGGCCAGACAATACCGATTACGATTAAGAATCATAACTCAACGGCTCCGCTTAGTTTCTCGAATATTCCCGTATCTAAGTACGGTACGATGCCTCATCCCGGTACTACTTTGCACCAAGGTTTTTTGGGCGTATCGGACATGGGTAGTTCTAGTTCGAACAGTTCGAGCGGCTATTGTGGCAAAAGTAAAACTTTGCAGCACCCTCAAAGGAGGCTGGCGAACAAAAAGTGCGTGAAAATCGAATCGTTTCAGCAAGTACCCGAGACCAGCTTCGAGGGTTTCGGTAAACAGAGAACGAACAATGCTCTAGGGTATTCGGGTAGTGCGGTATGACAGGAGGATGCTCCAGGGGCGGACGTTATATTCTAAAAAAAGATTTTTGTATTCGAAATAATTGTAATTATAATGTAGGTACCAAATGGTTGTTGAATTTAGTGGGCGAATTTTTAATGTAAGGATTTATTTTGGTATGTTGAAAGATGTCACATATTTGGGTTCGACTTGTATTTTTCAGGTCCGTTAATGTAATTTCAGAAAAAGTATAATTATTACTGGTGCTTGGAAAAAAGTTGCAGAAGTTTCCATAATGAACTATCAGATAAAAGGACTGTCCCAGTTTTTCTGTTAGTTATAAATTTTAGTGTGGTGCCTATCCATGACATCTTTCGTTATATTATTAATTTTCTTTGACTAACCCAAGCTTAAAATGTTAAAGATGTTAAACAAAGTTTTTAGGAAATAAATATACAAGTTGCCTCACTCTCTGTCGGTACATGAGTTTATAGACAGGTTGGTTTGTTTTTATGTGAATTATATCTATACGTAATTTAGAAGTTGTTTATAACAAAGCACCACATCACCCATCCTCGAATTTATGGTATCACCTCATTTTTTAGAACTACATTTTTCTTTCAAACATTTCTATTTTCAATTAATTCAGTAATCAACTTCTAGCATCGGGTATTTCATGTTTGTAGCCAAATTTCAACAAATATGTATCCAGCCAACCAATTTGTCTTTTACTCTCTGTTATCTTGAACTTCGTAATTCATCTTATATATTATTGTAAAGGAGTTTGAGACAATTTGAAATTCATTTAACCACTATTCACACCACTGATTCAATATGCAACAAAATCAATTTTAGAATGAGCGAAGTTTATTTGAACTTAAATAAATTCTAAAGCTGCCTCACATCTTCATCATCATCATCTATAACATTTTAAATATTTCTTTATATCATCAATGTTGAAATTGAAAAACCGAAATTATCATGATCTCATCTTTTAGATTTAATTATCCAGCTCTGATTACTTATGACCTACATCAAGAGCAACTTTTATATTTATATTCAGTAAATTGTTAGAAAAATCATATCCTGAATCCCAAGGTAAATTTGTATTACGAATGCAAAATAGCCACAACAATTTTTCTAATAATACCATTTGTTGTTAAGTTTGTTTTATGTTTTGTTGATAAGCGAAAAGTCGTAGTTTGAACTATGTCTTGACAAATCAGAAATCCCATATCTAAACTACATAATAATGTTTATTGAAAACCTTCAAAAGGTTATTTTAATCTCGGAATTGGATGTATTGGACGCAAAGCTCAACTACCTTTGAGCTTTGCCTTCAAAAAATATACATATTGTAAGTAATTAACTCTAGAAACAAACAACAAATATTTTATTTGTTTAAAAAAAAATAAATAAATGGAATATTAATAAAAATATATAAACTGTAAATTGCTGTGATAAACGGTATTATATTATCATCATTCTATGTACATTCATCGTATATACAATGTAAAAAAATGTGATTTGTTATATATTTAATTTGTTGATATAAAAAAAAATATAATTATTATAAACAGAATGATTTTTGTATTTCTCTTTTGCTTCTGACAAAGGACAAATCAAACACAGACAACTATTGTCTTGTTTTTTCTCCTGAAGCATTCTTACTTACCTGTTTTATATTTTCTCTTTAAAAAAGTTTTCAAATTTTCAAGTGGAGACGACAGCTTTTTTGTGTTTGCCTCAAAAGACTGAAGACGAATATTAAAAAGATGGAAAAATTCCTTTAATCTCCCGATTATCCTCTTTTAATTAATATTCAAATTAAATTTTTTTAAGTTTTTGTCTCGTTTCGAAGGCGGTAGACAACGGAGCTGAATTTCAAGTGAGTATTTTTAGATTGTGTAAAGCTCATCAAAAAATATTTCTAGTAACTAGTTTTCTAAGTAACTTACCTTTTTCAAAATGCTTTTATAGTCATTATTTACTCATTAAAAAAGTTTCGTAAACTTCTTAATAAGTATGGATGATTTTTATTAGGAAACTTTTATTGGGAAAAAAATTGCTTTACGACGCAATTAGGCTTTTTTAAATCGAGCTCAAAGACTGGCTAGACTCTTTCTTATTTGTATCTTTTCGGCTCAAAGGAAAAAAATTTAAATGAAAGGCATTATAGAAGAATGAGAAGTCAATGACATGAACAATATAGTATTATTATTATTATACTATGGTTTTACAACAACCTAGTTTCGCGCCTGAAGTATAATTTCGTTGGCTCTTTCTCTTCGTTCTTCGGACAGCTCGCATCAACAATACTAGGGAGGCTCATCAGCTGGCCGCTCAAGGCAATCCCAACAGCTAGGGGACCCACGCAAAGTATTGTCAGCCTAATACGCGATTCAAGTGCAGGGTCACCACAGTTCTGTCGAGAAAAATGACAGGAGAGCTCTTCCTTATGTCAGAGGCAGACAGCCAAGAGGATCTCTTGTAACTGTCTGTAGAGAATATTCTTCTTCGGTATCTCATAGCTTTTTCTTTGGGGCTATGGTTTGTCTTTCTGATGGAATAACCGAATGGGCCTAAGGTTATTCTTTCTTCGGTGCTAGTCTCGTGCTTGCTGCTGGTTTCCTATAGTATATGAGCACAAACGCTTTCTGAAGTGTCATCAGGATGTGGGTTCCGGGAAGTTATTTTATCGCTTCACATGTGTTGTGCGATATCAATTCTGTGGCGCCGATTACTACAGGGACTACTAGTGTTCTCATATTCCACAGGCGGTGTATTTCAATTTGTAGATCTTTGTATTTCAAGCGTTTATCTGCTGCCTTCTGGGTGATGCTACGTCTATTAGCATGCATGTGTTCTGTTTCTTGTCCACTATGATGTCAAGTATGGTTCTGTCTGTTTCCACTTGTGTGACCCATATTATTGTGATTTCAGGATTGTCGATGACGGGTCCGGGCTGTGTTTGTACCATTTTTCATGTACTTTTACTCCATACTCCTTGCAGATGTTCCAGTGCAGGTGGGCGGCGTCTGTGTTGTGGCGGTAAGCTTTTTTCGCTAGGATAGGGCATCCTGACACTATATGGTGGATGGTTACGGAATGGGCGTGGCATAGTCTACATTTTGGGTCTATGTCTGCCTTCATATGTGGCTATAGCTCGCTCATGACATGCAGTTACCAGTGCTTCGGGTTCTTTTTTCAGATTTGCATGGGTGAGCCACTTCCATGATGCAGCTGTGTTGATGGTTTTCTTTTCCGACTCCTTTGTGATTTGTCCATGTAAGGCCTTTTCCCTCCACCTTGTTGTCTGTTCTTTTCTCTTATGTGGTTCCAATCCTTCTTTAATCTGTTTGACTCTTTTTGTTTCAGGTTGGTTCGGGCTGACGTTTTCCGCTTTTTCGTCTCCGTTGTATTTTTCCTTGTTTCGCTCTCTTTGTCGGTTCACCATGCAGATGTACTTGTCTCTCTTTTTCAGATCGAGGAAGGCCACTTATCGCAATGGTGTGGCAGTTTTCCAGGCTTTGCATGCCTCCCTTCTTCTTTACGTGGCAAGTATAACCCGTCTACGTTGGCTTTGGGGTGGAGTCCGCTGTGGATGTTGAGTAGCTTTTGAGTTTGTCTGCCCATTTTTCTGAGTTCTGCAAGTGTCCACTTGATAATTCTGAAACTGTATTGTATTACAGAGACTGCTAGGGTTGTAATGGCAGAGCTCTTGTTTTTTGGGGTTAAGTTCGATCTTGTTCCACTTTTATCTTCTTGTGCTGTATTCTGTCGTTCTCGTTAATTCCCAGATACTTGTACACTTCGTGTTGTTCTAATGCTGGTGTTCTCGTCTCTCTTTTCTCGTGTAGCCTTCGTCCGATACACATACAATAAACAAAGAATTAGTTCTCGGAACGGTTATCTTACACTGACGTAACCAGAACTACCAGTAAGTTGACATAAATAACAACTGAATCAGGTTATGTCTAGCTAAATTACCTATATTAATAAATCATTTGCCACATTGGGACAAGCAATGAATTACTCCCTGAAATACCGTCGTGATCACTGTGGCGTACAAAATAGGGACAGAATGTAAATAAACAATAGAATATGGATAGGTTAATTAAAGCCAGTACGATACCAAAATGTTCCAGGTGGTAGTAGTAGATACAATTAACCAAATTGGTCCTGGCTACTGCTTGTGGTTAGATGGTCAAACCAATCTTACGGTTTAAATTTACGGTCCGGTAGACTTGTATAACCGTCCAAATAGAAAGCGTAGGCTCTATATCGATATCCTGAAGTGAGTGAGATGTTACTCCACTCTTTAGGGCAGCTTTTTACTAATGATTAAATGGAATAAGTCAGAATCCACTTTAGAAAAAAACGTGCAAAGCAAGACTTACTGAACTGGTTGTTTTCAAATCCGATAACATTGGCCAAAATTATAGCACTTTACGAAAATTAAACACATCGCAAGAAAACTCAGTGTGCCATAAATTCAATTAAGCCACGTGACAATTAAGATGGCGTGGCGGCCACACATGAGCCAAAAAACACAAAAAAATATCTAGTTTCTGCCCGATTTAATAATTCACGTACCTAGTCAACAAATAATTTAATAAAATTAAAAGCATAAAAACATAATCAAAACAAACTTGCTTGGCCGCCACGCCATATTGAATTTTCCATTTTGACAGATGGATTGAATTGCCTAATTAGCTGACCTAAAGGTAGGGACTCAGAGATGATTCAGGATAACGACAAATGTCAGAAATTAATCGATAGAATTCTTACTTATCAAAAATTGCACACAGAAATAATCACAGAAAAATGACAACGGCTGAGGAATAATGATAATAACAAGGAATTATCTAATAGAACAATTTTAATTTGAAGAATACCATAAGGAGTAAGTGATCTGGATTGCGAAATTAACAGGAATCGACGATACCAAAAACATTACTAATCGACAGCCAGTTGACAAAAATTAATGACACTTCAAAAGTCAAAAAATAGAAAGTGCAGGATAGTGCAGAACACAGATCAAAGTTTATGGAACCAATGTTTGAACCGGGTACAACTAGAACTTGTACTGAGTTCAATAGCCGAACCGAGTAGTTCGGTACATACACTTTTAAAACGGATTATTATGACATAACCCCGAAAGAAATATTTTTGACAAATGAATATTTATTTGTTCATTATTATGAAAATCAAATTGGAAATGGAATTTAAAATATGGATTAAAATCAATGAAAATAGAATTTAAATATTGAAAATTAAAAAATTTACAGGATCTGCAACTGCCGTTCTACTTCTTAGAATATTGTAACGGATCCTGTGTGCTAGTTCTAGTTGGTTGATCTCAAGTTTTGAGATATTGAACAATGTTTTTGTTGTTATACCTAATAGATTATACTCCAAAAAAAAAAACACAAGTAGGTAACATATTTTGTAGCTATTCAAACACTGGAATTTGTTATTTTTAGTTGCAAATGTAACCTTGACCTACCAAAGAAATCCCGTTAATGGAGAATATTTTTGTCGATTGTGGTAACATTGCTAAAACTCCCTCATCTCCTCAAGGAATCGATTCTGGAAAGTAATTTCGTAAACAAAGATGGACTTAAGTAGACCGCAGTCTTATATTGGAAGGTAATGGAACCCTCAAGCGTCCAGTATCGACACAAATTGGTTTCAAATAATTGCAAATTAATCGGTGCAACTTTCAGAGGAAAATCCAGTAATTACATAAAACCAATAGCATCCATATTTTCCTGTCGTGAAAAATCCCCTTTCGAAAATCAAGAATCGTATCAAATAAACCCACAAAACAGCACTCGGCCGTCCCCCAAGGGAACACACCCGAGGATAGATCAACTGATAAATGGGCAGCAGATTCGCGTTGTTCCGGAAGCGACGGTAATTAAAACAAATGTCCTAAATATGGCCGACCGACCGAAAGTTGTGTGTCCCGGAATGCGAAATAAAATATCCGCCAAGTGGTATGCACCAGAAGACAAAAAAAAAAAAAAAACACTCTCCGAAAAGCGAATATTTGTACGTGCGATAGTTGAAGGGCAAAAAATAACTCCATTTTAACCGAGAGAGATATTTTAAATGAACGTGCGTGCAACAGACAGGGCCATGATAGCTTTGGCTGAATGAAATTTACATTTGGTTGCAGTCGATTCTGGAAGTTGAATGCATATAGAGAGGAGACTAACAACAAACAATTCTTTTAATTAAATAGCCACTTTTCTTCACATAAAAATTGCTGACAAATTGTATTTTCAGAAAAAGTTTTAATGGAAAAATAATGAAGAAAACAAGCCGAATACTGGCTGGCTGGCTGCTGCTGCTAAGAGAATTGTGTTAGGGAACTAATTTATCAAAAAAAAAAGTACGTGGCATGCTTCCGCTTTACTTTGTCGACTCAGATTTTTATCATATAATCGATTTCGACA